GGGGGGGGGGGGGGGGCAAAAGAAAAGTATATCCTCCTATTTTCCCTGGGATATTTTTTTCCCAGCTGAGGGCAAAAAATGCCGCAGCCCTCTTTGAGAAAATGCCCCACTCGGAGACCGGCCCCAGCTCCATAGGAAGGGCCGTGGAGACCAGGCAGTTCCTCCTGCCGAGAGTGGGAGCGGGGAAATGGGACCCCAGAGCTGCCAGAGACCATCCTTGGGATACTCAGACTATGGAAAAAAAGAGATTTCCCCCTGAGAAATCTTGTAGGGAGACAACCGACACAAACATGTAGTTTTATATCAATATAAATGTATTTAACATTCGCAGCAGAGAACACAGTCAGGAGCATCCTGAGGTAAATCTCAAACGGCGCCCAGAAGGAAAAGGCGGGAAACAAGGGAAACGCCCCCTTTCCACAAGCAGCAACCAATCAGAGCGCAGATCCCCTCAGACGGGAGCCAGCCTTCACTCAGCCACAACGGGCTGTTTGGGACCCTCCTGCGCTTTCCTTCTCCAGCCGTTAAATTGGATATCTTCACATTTAAAGAGTTCGAAAGAAACATCTAAAATGACTTTGATTTTGTCCATTACGTCGAATTCTCAGGCTGGAATATTTTTAATCTTCATTCCGATAAAAAGAAGTCAACGTCTTTGTTTTCTTTTAAATACCTCAGACTTTTCTTTGCGTTTTGTATAATAAATAAATAAGATCTTCAGACTCCAGAAAGAGTACAAAGAAGAGCAACAAAGATGGAGGCTAAAACATATTAAAAAACGGTTGCTGGAACTGGGTATGAAGAGAAGGACGAGGAGGGACATAATGGCATATTCTGATACCTTAGGGGCTGCCAGAAAGAAGAATTATTTCCTTTCCTATTATCTCTATACTATAAATAAATATGAAGGAGACCTAATGAAAGAGGTGGAGGTGGAGTTGCGCTGTATAGAAAAAATAACCAAAGCACTCTAGAAACGCAACAGAAGAAAGACGAAAACCTCCTTCAATGCATTTGAGTTAATATAAAAGATGAAAAAGGCGTCGAAGCTTTGTCTGAAATGGAGCCTTTCTTCCTCCTACTGCCAAGGCCATCATCCAATTCTGGCACTTTGCCCCAAATCCTCCAGGGGGCGCTCTCTGCCAAAGGAAGGGAACTCCAGGAGCTTCCCCATTGGCCCACTGGAGGGCGAACGTCACGGCTGGCTTTCCACAGGAGGCGGCGAAGGAAGTGACATCACTGAGCCTTGCCGCTCTAGGACACCGCACTCTCTCTCCTTAACCGTTGGGGCTCCGCTGGAGGCACAGAGGCTGCGGGAGAATCTGGTGGGTGGACATCCAGACGTGCCTCGGGTGAGTTAGGGACTCTTCACGGGTTGCATGCTCACCAGCCGCCCTCTTCCTGCAGGGGGAAACGGAAGAAGCGGGGATGCCGGCGGAAATCCAGGGAAGAGCCCGAATTGGGGAAGGGGAGAGTCAGCCCAGCAGGAGAGAAGAGAAGCCGGGCGAGGAGGCAGGATTCGCACCGGGCTCCCAGAGCGCCCGATCCTGTCTCCGGAGGGGGAGAGAAGCGGGGCGGCTTCTCCAGCTGCCTTCTTTATTCAGTGGCTGAATTCCACTTTCTAATTCTTGGTTTTTCTTTTTCTTCCCATCTCAGATACAGAAACTGAAAGCCATTTGTGGTTTTTGCAAGACATTTTTTTTTCTTGGTGGGAAAAAGAGCTGAATAACTTGCAGGGATCCGTCCCAGAAATGGTCCCGTGAAGGAAAAGGCATCTGGAGACCCACCAAAGCCCTTGGATCCATCTGGAGTTGCTCTGCAGGACAGAGAAAGGATGGGGACACATCCTTTTGCCAAGGAGGGAAGCGGAAAAGGCCCTTCAGCTGCTCAGCCTGGGAAGGGGGGAAAGCTCTGGACAAGGACTGGGCAGAAGATCCTGGAGGAGGAAACCATCCTCCCTTCCGAAGTTCAGCCTGGGAACTTCATTCAATACCGGGAGATTGAGGGTCCCCGAAGACTTTGCAGCCGACTCCACACCTTTTGCAGGTGGTGGCTGAGACCAGAAAAGCACACCAAAGCCCAGATGCTGGACATAGTGGTTCTGGAGCAGCTCCTGGGTCTCCTGCCTCCGGAGATGGAGAGCTGGATTCGGGAGTGTGGAGCAGAGACCAGCTCCCAGGCGGTGGCCCTGGCAGAAGGCTTCCTCCTGAGCCAGGCAGAGGAGCAGAAGGAGCAGGTCCAGTTGCAAGTGAGATACTTTAGGGAGCTCAGAAGGGAATAGAGGAAGTGTTTGAATCATTCACCCCCTCCTTCCCAAACTTCTCTGACATTCATAATATGTGGCAATGTCCCACCAATTCTTCTTGTGGGACATTGTTCCATTGTTTTCTCACTCAACCACATGGATGGATATTGGGGGCTTTGAGGTTGTGTTCCCAATATAAGAATCCATTTTATTTCGTGTGACATACATTAATTCCGCTTCTTTTTTCCTTCCTCCTATTTGAAGTGCTGCACTGTGGAGATCAGAGATCCTGAGGGAGAGAATCCCTCTCAGGAGCTATTTTTCAGGAGGATCCCTTGGGAAGATCAAAGTCAGGACAGCTCAGGAGGTAATGGAAGATCCTCCTATTGCCCATCTATCTTACTTTTGGTCTCTCTTCTCTTCTATAGAATATCTCCTCCTATTTTGTTAATTATGCATTTTGAAATTATTTATTCCTTACAGAGAAACAAAGAATGAAGCTTTCTGGTTTTTATGATGGACATCAAACAGCGGCTGAACCTCCAAGCCAAGTAAGAAAGGGAAAAGTAATTATATTTCTATTCTCCCTTCAGGAAGTGAAGTGGGTATGGAGGGTGCTCTCTGTCCTTCTATTTTCCCTTCTTGTTTGGCCTGGATTATTCTTGTGATCTTCCACAACATGGAGAGCAGAATAGAAGATTCAAGTTTCTGTCAACCAGCATAGCTTCCTCTGGTTATCTTGTTCTGCTAGATACTCCTCCAACTTTGAGTATATAGGAAGCAATTTTTTAAAAGTCCTTCAAGAAATAGCAATAGCACTTAGAATTCTATACTGCTTCATAGACATGCTTTTACAGCCCTCTCTAAGTGGTTTTTACAGAGCATTTTGGCCCCAACAATCTGGGTCATCATTTTACCCACCTCGGAAGGATGGAAGGCTGAGTCAACCTTGAGCCTGGTGTGATTTGAATTGCTGAACTGCAGCTAACAGATGAAGTAGCCTGCAGTACTACACTCTAACCACTGCACCATCTCGACTCGTAACAGTGCTAGAGATCCATTTTTTTGGTAATTCTTTGACTCAGAATTGTGCAAGACTAATGAAAAATAAATAAATGCTCACATTCCAGCATTACTATTTAAAAAAAACCCTTATTTATAACCAAAAATAAGCAAATCATATTAAAAATAAAGCAGACTATTACAATCCAAAGGGAGTGGACATGTTGAGCATGTAATCACGGTACTTTGTGTTACAAAATAATTTTCAATCCTCTGATTTACGCCTGGATTAGGAGATCAAACATTACCGCTTTGCAATGTCTGAGAAATGACTTTCCCAACGATATTTCTCTTATTCGGTTTTTTCCTTTCAGCCAATGGCTCAGACTACCAGATCAATCAATGATAGACAGAGCGATGGATCAATTGATCCAGAGGTGAGGTTACTTTACTGAAATGCACCGAAAGTTCTGCAGAATCAATCAACTTGATAAAACTTCCCAAATATTTCTTCAGTGAAAGCAATTTTCAGATTTGCCCATTTTTTCATCTAAAATTAGGACTTGTGTGACACACAGCCATTTAATTTATGGTATTGCATATCTTTGCTTTGGGAATTTGGGAACAATGGAACAGAATAACAGAGTTGGTAGGGATGTTGGAGGTATTCTAGTCCAACCTCGGCTCAGACAGGAAGCCCTATAACATTTCAGATAAATGGTTGTCCAATTTCTTCTTAAACACCCCCAGTGTTGGGGCACCCACAGTTTCTGGAAGCAAGTCATTCCACTGATTAATTGTTCTCACTGTCAGGAAATTTCTCTTTACTTGTAGGTTGGTTCTCTCCTTGAATACTTTCCATCCCTTTCTTCTTGGAACACTGCTATCGTGTCACCCCCTAGTCCTTTTCATGACACTAGACATACCCAATTCCAGCAACCGTTCTTTATATGTTTTAACCTCCAGTCCACTAATAATTTTGGTTGCTCTTCTCTGCACTCTTTTTAGAGACTCAAGATCTTTTTTACACCTGGCAACCAAAACTGGATGCAATATTCCAAGTGTGGTCTTAGCAAGGCATTATAAAGTGGTGCTAACACTTCATGTGATCTCGATTCTATCCCCCTCTTAATGCAGCCTATGATTCTGTTTGAGGTTTTTTTTGGCAACTGTAGCTTACTGCTGACTCATGTTTAAGTGCTTGTCCATTAGGAGTCCAAGATCCCTGTTGCACTTACTACTGTTGAACCAGGTATCACCTATTCTATGCCTGTCCATGTGGTTTTTCTTGCCTAAATGTAGAGCCTTACATTTCTCACTGTTGATTTCATTTCGTTAGATGTGTCCCAATCTGTCGACTCTTCTATATCTCAAGCTTATCTTCTGGAGTGTTGGTATTCCTGTCAATTTGGTCTTGTCTACAAATTTGATGAGTTCCCGTTGTATTCTTTTGGTTAAGTCATTGATGAAGATGATGAAATCTTGCTAATTCTCCTGTTGTGTTCTTTTTTCCATGTTCAGGGGAGTCTTATGACCTTCGAGGACGTGGCTGTGTCTTTCTCTGAGGAGGAATGGTCTCAGCTGGATCCTGATGAAAAAATACTCCATTCTGAAGTCATGCTTGAAAACCATAGGAACGTGGTCTCTCTGGGTAAGTGTCTTCTAGTCCCAATCAGAGAGTTCATAAAGACAGATTATAGTTAGTTTTTTATTTTAAAAACCACTAATCCAATATTATCTCCTGCGAGGGAGAAGGAAAGGATCTGCCTTCTCGTACTCCAAGGAAAGAAAGAGTCAATGTCTCTCTGCTTAGATGCTTTCTCTGCCATTTCTTATCTGTATTTTTCCATTTCTATTTGAACTTATCTGTGGAGGCTGAAAAGAATGAGGTATGTTTTTATGTGTCCTCTGGAGGTCATGTGAGAGGAATGTCTTGTCATTTGTCCTCTGAAACCTGCAAAATTGTGTGAAAACAGAACTTCCACACTCAGGCCATGGAAGAGCATTCTCCTAATCCAGTGGTTCTCAAGCTTCCTAATGCCGCGACTCTTTAATACAGTTCCCCATGTTGTGGTGACCCCAACCATAAAATTATTTTCGTTGCTACTATGTAACACTGGGAGCCACAAAACCTGGGTGGGTGTGGCCATCTCAACACCACTCCCACTCAGTCACATGACATCCCCCTCCCCCACAGGTTTCACGGCTCAGTGTTTTCTGTGGGAATAGGGTCTCTCTCTTCTCTCCCACTCCCTCTCATTTCTATTTTTCTCTATTTTTCCTCTCTCTTTCTCTTCTTTCTTTCTTTCCTTCCCTTTCCCTCTTTCTTTTTCTTTTTTTCTCATGGAATATGATAGCAAATCCAAAATAAAGTTATTAAATGTAGAAAATTGCTTTTCTGTAATCTTTTCATAGTGAACTCTAAGTTGATAGAAGCTGGCAAGATTATACTAACAGCAATAGGAGATATTCAATCCCCTACTGGCAGTTAAAAGGAACAAACAGCCGAGATCTCACACTACTCCTGGAAACACCAAACCTGAAG